GACCAAGGGAGACAACAAAAAACATGGGAAGACCTCAAAAAACATGGGTAAACGACATAAAGACAGTGGCAGGTAAACTTTGGAAGAGACCAGGAGTGGATAACTAGAGGTTGACATAGAAGAAAAGAGAAATGATATGTGGTTCACGTTTACTGGAGATACCACAATAAAAAAAGCTCCACCGCTTGGTGGTGTGGAAATTAGTATTTTGATGTTGGGTTACAATAAATCACAATACTTATACCTACCTACCTACCAAAAAAAAAATGGCTAAATAATATTATATAGTAAAAACTAATTGATATATATTTAGCCATATATTGTATACGCCAAATATAAATAAATTTCATTAGGTAAATTTTATTGTTTTTCAATCGTCATTATCTTAAAAACAGAACAAATATAGTAAAAATGCGAATTAAAAAAAATATATTTCACTTTCTGTAGCTATAGCTCATTACAGGTAAAAGCTACAAAAAAAAAGTTTTGTATAAAAATTATAGAAAATTCAATTTTATTCATTTTTCTCTTGAACACTTTTTTTTGTAAAGTTTACCGTTCAGCAGTTATATTAGAAAAACCATTTTTGTGCACACTAAATCCAAGATAGCGGTGGAAGCCGGCCGCGCCCAAGGTCGAAAACTCAAATTTTTCTTTAGGGCTTCAATCTGAACAACATATATCAAAATCGCGACTACCCCACTTTTTGCAAGCTGAATCTCTCTAATGACTGGACTATATCTTTAACTAAACAAAATGAAGAGAAAAATGAGTTTATCCGGACACAAGGGACAAAGACGTCGCAGAATATGCTGAAGAAGAACTTTTAAAGGAAGTGAGTAACCGGGAGGCAACCATTGTAAAATTGAATAGAAAATTTGTAAAGTTTCAACAAAAATGTGCAGATATGAAGAAAGACATTTATATTTTGAAAGAACAGAATTAGAAAGTAAAACTGAACATAAAGCTTACGATTTTTCGAAGAATGATATTGACTATGTATAGTAATGACTATGGGTGGTTTGCAAAATATGACTGAGTGTACTTAAAACAAGGGAGGTAAATTTATCCACGAACGCCATATATTTACCAGTCTTCTTAGCACTGATTTTTTTAATTATCACAGAAATGGTATGCGCCAATCTGCAAAATTTAAAATATTAGAAAAGCATTTTTCAAGAGCTTTAAGATAAGATATCACAAAATTGCCATTTAGAATTATTTAGTTGGGGTGGCTGGGGGTGAGGGCCGGGGTAAGTGAAAACAGATTAGGGTTAGTTATTACATCATTTTGGTTCCCTTCTCCCAATTATAGAAATTGTTTTTAGCGATTTTTATTTTTATTTTTTTGGTTCCTCGTCAGATATAGCCATTGTAAGTTTCCAAAGTGTATAAAGTGATACCTTTTTTGGGAGTGGGAGATTTTGGGATATCAAGAGCTTCTAAAATCTGAAATGGAAAATCAAGGGTCGTATTTAAAAAAATGAAGTTGATGATGGTGGCCCAAAGACGAAACGTCAGATTTTAAATTTGATGGTAGCATCTTGTAGAGGAGAAAAAATGACAACGATGAAGTAACATTTATTTTGCGATATTATTTCAAATAGAGTCAGAAAAAAATAAAAACGATTTGGGCAAAATTCGGTTTTTATAGATATCTTTGAAATTATTCGGAATTTCCGGAATATCAAAACATGACGCCACTGAACTCAGTAATGCGCAACTTTTTCCAAATTTAATGGAGGTCCCTGTAGAGTGCATCCTTATCCGGGACACCGTGTTTACCTAAGGTAAAAAGCACTTTCGTTGGATAACCCTGTACAGGGTTATCCAACGAAAGTGCTTTCTACCTTATATACCTGTTAATTGAAGAGGTAAATGTAGCAATTTTGGAGATATCCCTAATCAATGATTTTTCAATATAAATTACGAAAAAAATGATATTTCATCGTTGGAAGCTGGTAGGTTCCCGTCTAGTCTTGCTTATTAATATTATTATTATTATTGGAGAGAAATGACAAATTAATGTTTCTACGACCAGTGACACCAAAAGAAATTTGTGAGCTAGGAAATGAAATTAAAAATAAGCATAGCAGTGCCAGCAGTGGCGTTGACGAAATTCCAAGTAGTATTATGTAGGTTGCGATAGGTGAGCTGCAACTGGTTTTATGTTATTTGTAAATAATTCACTCCGGTATGGCATCTTTTTGGATAATCTGAAGGTACCCCTGATATAGTTATTTTCCTAACAAGTGCGCAAAGTGATACTTTCCCGCACGAAAAAGCAGTTAGACGAACGACGCGAAGCGGAGTTCGGATAAGCTTTGAGTGCGGGAAAGACACTTTGCGCAAGTGTTAGGAACAATACTTTTTCTACGAGTGTTCGAAGATTTGCATAGCATCCAGAGAAGAGCTGTACCTAATCTTCTTAAATGTTTCCAGATGCTCAAAGCTAGAAATTTTTTCTCCTAGTTCAATGTGTTGTGTTTTCACTTTTTTTTTTCAGTGATCAGCCAGTTTGACTTTATTTGCAACATTGGTTGTGCTAGCGAGGTTTACTTAAAATTTGAACAAGTCGTTAGGTTTGTTTTTCCTGCCAAATTGAGACTTAATTTACCATGATGATATTTTTTCGTGTGACTTTTTAAATTAGTTTTAAGTAGCCACAAGTACAGCATCTTCCCAAAATATATTATCCATTTTTGCTTGCATTATCATAGATCTTGCTTTGTCTATTGGTGTCTGATTCATTCTTCCGTAGAACCATTAAGTTGGGGAGTATGTGGAGGAGTATAACTTACAGTCCAACTTTTATAATCTAATACTCTAAAGGAATGTGAGTTGGTGAATCCCCATGCCAATAACGGTCACCTGACTTCACATCTATTTTTGCTGGATTTTTCCTCCGCTCACTCCTTAATACAGAAAGTGTCAAATTAAAAAAACTAAACATAACCTGAATGCTTTTCTTGGAACAAAAATAACATCAGGCCCTTCTTTCTGAATATAAGTTTATCCAGAAACCCACAAAACATTGAAAAATCGAGTATAAATGCGGTTACTATGCGTAACAAAAATTAGTGCGCAAAGAGTTTCCGTGCGCAAGGTTCAACTTTGCGCACGCAAATGAGTGCGCAAAGTAATAACTTTGCGCAAGCAAGTAGAAAAAAGCCTATGTATAAAAAGGGGGATCCCGAAATGTTAGACAGTTATAGACCAATTAGCCTGTTGCCTTCTTTTTCAAAGCTAATGGAACTACATAGTTATGTGTAGTAGATTGTTAAACTTCATGAATACATGTAACTTGTTTATTGATAATCAACATGGGTACATTAAGGGTAGATCGGTAGATCCACATTAACAGACATTTTTAAATTCACCGAGTCAATTTTGGTGTACTTTGAGAAAGGTTAGATGGCATTGGGTATTTTTGTGGATTTATCAAAATCAAAGGCGTATGATTGCCTTGATAGAGAGTTGATTTAAAAAAAGTTAGAGCCATATGGGGTAAGGGGAAATGCTCTGAAATGGCTGTCTTTGTACGTGAATAATGGAACACAACAAGTGATAATCACAAAAAATGGACAAACCCAAAAATCCAACAGGCAACAAAATCCTATAAGGATACCTCAGGGCAGTATACTGAGCCCACTACTATTTATTATCTTTACTAATGACTTATACATTATTGCAAATGAGCCATATCAAAGAATAATAAGTTTTGCAGATGTCACATATTTGATCATTGGCAACAAATGCATACATAAGTTGCACTTAGTCAAAAACAGAGGTCATGGAATTCTTGGAGACCGCGGATTATGGTAGAGTGGCTGTTTCTGAGCCTGGGGGATCAAAGTTTCTCGGAGTCTACCTAACTCAAACATTTAACAGTCCTTGACACAGTATTGGTAATATAGCCATTAAATGACATCTTGGAGTTATATGCCACTCAGAAATTTCGGATATTTGCTAATTTCCTGATTGATACGTTATTATTTATGTAAGGAAATTTCACTGTTTGGGCTTACCTGGAAAAAGTTATTTCATAACATTTGGCAATATCGAGGTCCATTTCGTTCGAGCCACACCATTTATCGATATCATCTTGCAGCAGTTGTAAGTCTCCCAACAATGATACCTGAGGATAAAGTTTAAAATCATCCGCAAATGACAAAAATGAGCTGTGTGCAATGAAACTACCATCATCGGATATGAACAAATTGAATAGGATCGGACCACAGTGAGACTCCTGGGGTACGCCAGAAGGAACGCACACAACAACACCGCCATATCTAACTGCCTGAGTTTTCCCAACAAGAAAGTCAGCAAACCAACTCAAAATTGGACCTCTCACCCCCAAAGAACCAAGCTTCCTAATGAGCAGGCGATGAATAACCCTGCTGTTCAAAATAAAATTCTGATACAGAACCCAATTTGTTGATGTCGACCTACTCACTACTCACCGTAAACCCATGGTATTCCGGATTCAAAAGGTACCTACATTACCATCTAAGTTTCCTGATAATGAGACAATCCAACAACTAAGGAATCTCAGACTGCATGCAAACAGCATTGTAATTTGTGATCTCTTCTCTTGACCCACTTTTAGATATTGGTTTCAAAAAGCTGAACTTCCACAAAACCGGGTAAGAACCTGTCAACAATGAATGATTGAAGAGATTTAACAGGGGCGTCGCAAGGATGTACAGGCATTTCCTTATAAATAGCAAGGAATTACATATGCCAAATAAGAAAAACGGATACAAGGATAGTAATTTCGCTTGCGAATTTACTGCGAATTCGAAGTGTGCGAGACACATTCTATGAGCAGATTGAAATAAAAACTACAATTATTTGATTACAAAACAATTACTATTGAAGACCTTGTCCAACTTAAAAATGTATTGTAAATTATACCTACTTTATGAGGCACTATCTTACAAATTAACTGTTATTTTCTTAAGATTTTTGCCAAAAAAAAAATGTTTTTTTTTTTCTAGAAGTACCTGTCTGTTTCCTCTAACATTTGCTCAAATCTCCGTACAAGTCAACACAGTTAACATAAGTTCCGAGTTTGCAGTCAACGATTTAGCAGATACTTCATTGACGTTCCATTCAAAAGAAGTTAAGAGGTTCTTTATTGAATTTGAACCTGATCCAAATGATATCAATAACGAAATAGAGGTAAATAACATTTATTTGAAGTTAATTTTAAAAAAAATAATTTCTTATCTCAATTCAGATAGAAAGTATAAAAATTTCGATTGGAGATCCAGCAGAATGTTCGGCAACTCTGAAATTTTCTGGGCAAGCTACCAAACCAGAACACCCAGAATTGCAGCATTTCAAAAGGAGTCAACACGAAGTGGATTTTGATAATATCAAAGTTGTTTCGAAAGCTTCGATAGTACCGCGACATTCCAAGATTATGGTCAAGTTTGAACATGCTCCGCCTGCACTAGTTGGGGAATGCTATGAAATTTATGTATCTATTATTAATCAGGAATTATGTGGGATTAAAGATTTGAGGGTGGAAATTTTGCCTGAACAAGATTGTAATGAAGGTGAATCTATATTAGGTCACAATTGAGCTCAATTTGACCAAACATTTTTTTTCTTTAGTTGAGTTTTCCTGCGTTCCTGAATTCGGAACCGTGAAATTACCTTTAATTCTACCCACTGCAACCACTTTAAGTCGAAGTTCCAAGCTCACGACCAGCCTGTTTCTTCGCGCCAGCAAAGCAGAAATTAAAAATATTTTTGTAAAAATTACTTATAGAGTGGATAGCGATAAACCTGTGATAAGTATCAAGAACGAGACGATAGTGCTGCCTGTAGTACAGCCATTTGAAGTGACTACTAGGTTTTTGTCAGGTATGATGCAGACTATTCATAAATTTTATGCTGGGGAGAATTTTGGCGTTATGGCTCTAATTCGTTGCATGTCGCCTTGGCCGATTTGTATTGAGGAAACTTCAATTGAATTTGTAAGTAGTTATGAGTATTGCAGAATTTTCTTATAAGTTTGCCAATAAGCATATTATGATTTAAAGCACAATTAACTTATTTATTAGATTACTCCAGTAAAATCAGTTGAAAAGGATCTACAAAGCATTATCGCAGGTTCTACTATTAGCAAAGAGGAAGTAGCGACTGAATTATTTTTAGCAGTTTCCGATAAACAGTCTGACCATAATTTAGCTATTGGAGAATACAAAGTAACATGGAAAAGGTAATAGAATAATTATTATTTCAACCAACAAGAGTTTCCAAGATGATTTTTGTAGAGAAAATGGTATGTCGACTATAACACAAGTAACTTTACATGGTTACCATTGCGATTGGATTCCATTAAACTTGAAAGTGATAACACCTCCATATGGTCTAGTCAGAACGCCAGTGACTATTGAATATCATTTATTGAATCAATCGTCCCATCTTATTCAATTGGATATTGGAATGGAAGCTAGCGAGGCGTTCATGTTTTCTGGATATCGGCAGGTAACTTACAGAAAATGATAAATTTATTCTTGTTCAATAATATCATAGATTGGATAATTAGATTTTCTTTTTATTCTTCTAGACTACCGTATCTGTATTGCCCTTCTCTACGAAAATATTTCAATACAATCTGTATCCGTTATTGGCTGGTACTGTAGCTTTGCCTAGATTAGTACTATCTATACCGGAAAATAGTACTGAAGGACCTGCCCTGAGACAGGATCAGCTTAATCAACTTATTGAAAGGACCATCCCATTTTATATTTTTGTAATGGTGAGTTAATAAAAAAATTTCAGGTAGCTTCTTTTTAAGTGAGAGTGATGTTTCTGCAATTAAAAAAAAATCCGATACTCATTACACTATTGCAGGAAAGTCAAAAACCTAAAATCCAATTTTCTTGAAGAAAAAACTCGTTTTAACATTCTGTGTAATGAATCATTTCAATGGGCTACTTTGTTTATTGAAATATAAAAAAAAATCACCAATATTGTAACCATTGAAAATACTAAATGATTCTTATCTCAATTTCCATTCCAATATCTTAATTATAGAATAGTATATTGTGTATTTAGGTGGAAAAGTGACACATTCTCGGCCGACGGTGTAAGTTGGTAAACACCGAAGGCCGAGAATGTGCTTTTCCACCGAAATACACATACTATTTTTTCTGCGATCGGCTAAATACCTGTTAAATGTTTGTTTTTTAGTTCCAATTATTCAGCGATACAAGAATCACTTTCCCGGCCTAGGCCGGAAAAGTGTTTCCCGTATTGTTATTCACTGATTCCTCAGCAACTATTGAAACATATTCAAAATACTAGAATATTGAGTTTTGCGACCTGTCAACCGATTAAAGATGCTGACATTTCTTGTTAATCGCAGAAAAATATACATATTATAATGTTATTATTTCTATTTCAGCCCCAATTGAAAGGTAATCCAAAGTTACCTGATATAATACAGAAGACAAACATAGTTTTAAAACCTTTAAATTGAAATGTTGATGTATATTAAATATTATATTGTTAATAAAATTATGTTTTAAAATTATAATAATCTTTCAAATGGGTATATTGGGAAAAGGTGCTATAGTCAACACCTGCAACCAACTATAAGTTATTAAGAGCCGATACTTTTGTTCTCGATCAACGAATTTGATATGTCGTCAAAGTTTTGCATGGGCCAAGGTCTATAAGTATGATGTGGTTAGAGCACATTCAAACCCCTGATTATTTTTAACGGCTGTCAAATGAGAGCAAAAGTACCGGTACTAAGTTAACTATCTGTGGTTTCCAGTACCCGGCTTCACTTAGGGAATTGATATGCGATTGTGTGGCGTGGTAGTTGGAATAAAAAAATAGACTTTAAGATATAAGAGGTACAGGGTGTTTCCTTATATTTTGACCCCTACCTACAGCTTAAGCTATACGAGGTGGAAAAAAACTTTAAATATGAAAGTTGTAGGGTTTTATGTTAATTATCTTTTGCCAGTGTCAAAATGCGCAAATGACAGGTGCCAACTGTCATAATGACAAACACTTGCATTTTTCAAATGGAATACCCTGTATATTTTTGGCGAAAATCATAGATTTTTTTCTTCTGATTCCAAATATACCATATATGTTGATATTTGGTTCAGCTGTTTTTACACTATTCAAGTTTAAAAGTGCATTTACATTACCTTTAATTTAATCTGTCCTGGTTTCTTATATCAATGATGAGGCTTGCTCAAAGCAATTTTAAAATTAAATAGCGGAAAAACACCTGAACCGAATATCAACATATATTATATATTTGCAATCAGAAGAAAAAAAGCTATCATTCTAGCCAAAAATATACAGGTTGTTCCATTTGAAAAATGCAAGTGTTTGTCATTGTGACAGTTGGCACCTGTAATTTGCCCGTTTTGACATTCGCAAAAGATAATAGACCTAAAACCCTACAACTTTCATATTTAAAGTTTTTTTTCACCTCGTATAGCTAAAGCTGTAGGTAGGGGTCAAAATATAAGGAAACACCCTGTACACATTTTTTATTGAAATATATTCCAACTCAATAAATTTTTGATTTTGTTATCCAGGTATACAAGGAGTGCCGGATAAGAATGCACTCTATAGGGATCTGTGTTAACTATAAGAGATACAGGGTTAGTTAAATTTAAATTCACATTCTCATTGCCACTTTTCCTCCACTACATGATAATATTATCAGAATTTCAATCAAACATTTCGTTTCTTCGCGATCATCATCAACTTTGTTTTTTCAAATGGCCGAAATTTACACTGATGGATTTTTTGTGTGAAAAAATGTCAAAACACCAGTTACTGTGCAAATTCTCTCGATTCTCTAATTAATTTTAATGTCAATCTGATGTTATTTCTGAACTGAACTGAATCAGAAGCAGAACCTTCTTTTTTTTTCTTGCAAAAACTTTGCAATTTTTATCCAAACATCATGTTCCTTAATTCTTCTTGTATTGTTGTACAGCAATCTCACTTTTTTACCATTTAGATAAATCGTGCTCTTTGGAGCTATAATACCACAGTGGTCGGTTTACTATTATTCCCTCCTCCTCCTCTCTCCAAGATCGAAGAACTTGTTGGCTGGTTGTAGAGGACGTTGTGGCCTTCCACGCACTGCAGCCTGTTGACTTATTATGCACCCCAATTTCCGTTCTGCCCTACAAGAGTCCTGACAATGTGCACGGTTTTCAGCTTTACACAAATACTGCACTGCCTTTTCTTCCAAAACGAATATAGAATTCAGCAGCTGCCCGTTTATGAATCCCCAAAAAGTACCATACCGTACATGAGACTCGAACAAGGAGAAATACACCATTTTAGCATCCGTACTACTAAGTTCATATCACAACGCAACCAGCTGACAACCTGTTATCTAATTGATTAATATGTTCGTAAAACTTTAGCCTATTGTCCAACATAAGCCTCATTCATTTTACAGTGGATAGTGGATTTACTTGCAATAGACCGATTCATAAGGTTCAAATCTGCATAGTGAAAACCAAAGGTCAATGTTTGTTTTGGACATATTAAAACAAAGTAGGTTTGTATCACACCAAACCTTTATTCGCTTTTGCAAATCGCTATGGATCATTAGTCCTAAGTTTTCTACTCTTGTCATGCCACACAAGACTGGTGTCATCCGCAAAAAGAGTGAATGAATCTTGAATATCTAAGAAAGCCAAATCGTTCGGGTTCAAAAACAAAATTAGACTGAGCCCTGAGCCCTGTGGAACACCTCTTGCAACAACGCAGTTGCTAGAATATACCTCGTCCACTTTTACGATTTGTTTTCTTCCAGAAAGATAGGATGAAAACCATTCCACTGCAATATCACCAAAGCTATAACTCTTTGCTATAACGAAGAAGCTTTCGCAGCAACACGCAATCGAAAGCTTTCAAAAAATCACAGAATGATGCCGCGACCGTCTCCCCGCCATTTATATTTAGATAAATATCGTGGAGCAACGAAAAAATAGCATCATCATTCATCAGTACTTTTGCCCGGAATGGAGCCAAATTGAACAGAACTAAGTAACCTGTGACCAGAGCTGGGCAGTAGCTAGCTATCAAGTAGTTAAGCTACTAACTTAGCTACTTTTTTGGTAGTTAATAACTTATTCATATGTTTTGTAGTAGCTTGTAGCTGTAGCTTTTGGTAATGTGTTCCATGTATTCATAAGCTACCGTGAAAAGTAGCTAGCTACTAAAACAAGCTACTTAAGCTCAAGCTAAAATTATATTTTTTTTCGGAAAAATCTTAGCCTGCCTTGTTTAGACTAGTTTCTGTGACCTGTTTTATTCTCTCCTTCGCAGATCACTGTGATCAAAGTGAACTTAATAAATGTCCAGTGGTTTTTGCCAAAAATATGAAAACTGCAGTGCCTATAGAGAAAATTAAAATTTTATTTTCGTATGATGATATTAATGAAATTAAATTAGGTAAGTTACATTGATAGTGGCGATTGTGCACGCTTTTTTGTTTTTAATAATTTAACTTTTAAAAAAGTAGCTTAAATAGTAGCTTTCACTAGTTCAATAGGTATGTAGTTAAGTTAACAATAGCTTAGCTATTTTTTTTAGGAGGTAGTTGAGCTACTTACACTATAAAGTAGCTTGTAACTTGTAGCTAGCTACTTTTTTCAAGTAGCTTGCCCAGCTCTGCAATCAAGTTACATTCCTTCTCTCGTTGTTGCATAAGCGTTATGATTATTTGTTGTTCCATTTGTTGCACTTTTAGCTTTAGTGAGCTGTTCGCTGTTCTCTTCCTTCAAGTTTTAATATAGTTATTTTCCTAACAAGTGCGCAAAGTGTTACTTTTCCGCACGCAAACACAGTTATACGAACGACGCGAAGCGGAGTTTGGATAAGTGTTTGCGTGCGGAAAAGACACTTTGCGCACGTGTTAGGAACTAAATTTTTCCTACGAGCTTCATATCAGGTAGGTAACAACAAAAATTTAGAAAAAAAAATTATTTGTTCAACTATTTTTAATTAACTTGAAGCGAACCTATGCAGTTATCAAAAAATTACATAACAAAAAAAAAAATAACAGAAAATCATCGTCAGAGCCCTTTTTTTAAAACGTTTAAATTTGATGAGAAAGTTTGTAGATTCTTGCATATCAATAGAGAACAAATCTGACAATGTGTCAAAGTTAATTAAATTTGGTGTTTGTATAGATGTTGGCTGATATAGAAACAGAGGAAAAATTTGTCATCATTTGTCAACGTCGACAGGTGTCCTTATTGTTGCTTGACAATTATTTTTACTTTTCGGCACTCAGTGCGGATAAGGCCTGTATCCGCACTGAGTGCGGAAAAGTGTAACTTTGAGAACCGAAATGCGTGCGGAAAAGTACTACTTTGCGCACGCTCGTAGGAAATAGTTATTTTCCTAACAAGTGCGCAAAGTGTTACTTTTCCGCACGCAAACACAGTTATACGAACGACGCGAAGCGAAGTTCGGATACGTGTTTGCGTGCGGAAAAGACACTTTGCGCACGTGTTAGGAACAAAATTTTTCCTACGAGCTTCATATCAGGTAGGTAATAACAAAAATTAAAAAAAAAAACGATAATTTGTTTAATTATTTTTAATTAACTTGAAGGGAACCTATGCATTTATCAAAAAATTACATAACAAAAAAAAAAAACTGAAAATCCTCGTCAGAGCTGTTCATCTTAAAGCGTTTAAATTTGATGAGAAAGTTTGTTGATTTTTGCATATAAATAGAGAACAAATCTGACAATGTGTCAAAGTTAATTTATTTTTGGTGTTTGTATAGATGTTGGCTGATATAGAAACAGAGGAAAAATTTGTCATCATGTGTCAAAGTCGACAGGTGCACTTATTGTTGCTTGACAATTATAATTACTTTTCAGCACTCAGTGCGGATAAGGCCTGTATCCGCACTGAGTGCGGAAAAGTGTAACTTTGAGCCCGGAAATGCGTGCGGAAAAGTACTACTTTGCGCACGCTCGTAGGAAAAATCCTTTACGACACTCTTTAGCTTTGGGCGCTTTCTTTTATTCAGCGTGGATCCATCAGTAATCAGCCTTTCTTTGTCTAGCTCATAGAAGATAGTAATGTCTGTCTAATAATGATGGCAGCAGATGGATCCATTGCTGAATAAAAGAACGCCCCCTTTTTTTCATCCATTTCATGTATTTTTGATGAATTTTCTGGAAGTTTAACCTCACTTTCGCGCGGTAAACAAGAATACACTTTATTCTCAGAATTTAGATCTTTTCGTTGGCCCACACATCTAGGATGGAAGCTTAGATCACAGACTTCACAATCGTATGAAAATTTCACAGATTTTTTTTGCAATGTTTGCATGGGTATTTTTTCGTTTTCTTTAGGAGTTTGATTTTCTAAAACTGAGCTTGGAGTTTACGGTTTACCACCCTTGGCCTTTTTGTAAGTATTTCTGCACAAAGATTTTCCTTTGTCATGATCCTAACTTTTACTCCGGTGCACCTATGAACTGGTACCTATATGCTCGACCTCTACAAATTAGCTTAAAGATGCTACCACTCGTATTTGATAGTTTTTAGTGTCCCTATGAACATACTAAAAGTCCCCGTCGCTGTGATTGGTGGAACATCCCCAAATCCAGTCGGACATCTTGATTTTTCGCCCTTTTATTGAATTTGTACTAATATCTCGAACACTGTAAGGTTTATCAAAAACAGTCTTTTTTTGCTCTCGACTTTTTCGTAATTTTTTTTTGGTTTTTAAGTTTTCTGCTCTAAAAATTTCAATATTGAAAATGCAAGGTCGCAGGCTAATTTTCGAAGAGTTATACCCTGGAAATAAGAACTTTTCTTGGGTATCTTAACATTCCAGCAAATCTTAAATTTTTGAAGGGACCAAGAATGTGTCGAGTAGGGCTCAGACCTATTTTATATCCAGTTGTTTTGAACTTTTCTCAAATTCCTATTTGTTTACAAGATATTAAAACAAACAACAAACTAGGAAAAAAGCGCGAAAAATCAAGATGGCGGACCAGATTTGGGGATGTTCTTCCAATCACAGCAGTGGGGACTTTTAGCATGCTTATAGGGAACCTAAAAGCAATCGAATAATGGTGGTGGCAGCTTTAAGCTAATTTTTTTACCCCTGACCCCTATTGATGATTGCTGAAGATTTTCCATAATTCCGCGATTGTGTGAAAATTTCAACTCATTACTTATTTGAAGGATTTTGTTGCTTAATCTTCCATTAGTCTGAGAGATACATGCCTATTATTTTTGCAAATAAATCAAAAAGGAAAAATCCTATAATATTATGGCTTGTAGGTAGTAGTCCTTAGGCATTCTATACTAATTACTTTCCCAAAATTACATGGTCGCACCTCAACTTGGAAATTTGAAATTCCCAAAAAACTAAAGGTGTTACCATCGGTGTTCCTCAATGGTAACTGTTTTCTTGGTATTTTTTTTTTATATAAATATTATGGTACAAGAGGCTGTTCATCTTAGGTGAAGATGGAACTAGATGAAACAAAATTCCTCCCAAGCTGACTCAGAAGAGACCACATAATATATGGTAAAGCTGCCGGGCGTTGTTGGCCAATCTGCAACGACTGCGAAAACAGAATCCAACTTCTGGAATCTCTTTTTCAGTAAAAAGTAATTGTTGAATACACGAATAAATAGGTACATAGAAATTGTAAAACCGAAATTCATCAGATGGTCAAATTTTTTTATCAATAATTTAGTACATGTATCTCTGTCTCGCGCGCCTAATGGAAGGTTAAATTTGCTTCAGCATCAGAATCGGTAAGTACTTTAGGGTAAACTTTGCTTTAGGAGATAAAATAAATACTTTGTTCAAATACATAATTTTATTAATAACACTATCACAAAATTTGTACAAAAAAAAACACTTCTCATTGTAGACTAAATTTAGTTGTGACAGTGACAAAACACATAGAATACTAAATACATAAATCAAAAAAAATATGCACCAAATTAATCAAAAGAAAATCAGATGATTGGAAATAATTTTGAACGATCTAATTGACTAATGATTATTTGTAGCGTGGCACTATTTTTTTACCATAAGGATAATGCAATACTAAAAAAATATAAACTAAACACAAACGAAAAAGTTATAAGTCAGAACCGATTAGATGGAAAATCAAGAATTAATAAAAATCCAATTGACTCCGATTTAAAGTGAAACTTTATTTTTTTCCGGTTTTAACCCAGTTCTCCAAAATCCATGGATGGCTCATAGCCTCTTTCAAGGACATTCTTTTCTCACCTTTAATGACGACCAGCTGAAAGAAGATAAGAGTTGAGAGGCAAAAAAGAGTTTAATGAGGAAGTGAACTAACATAATGCTCAATCAACTCGATTCGTTGTTTTTCAGATTATAACAAAAAAACAGATATTTACGATTCAGTTAATTATTTTAATGTGCAGAACTTTGAATTATTATGAATTGGCTTAGAAAAGTCTAGATTAATTCAAAAAAGTCAGAAATAATTCAAAAAGTCCGATTCTTTTTTTGCAAGTCATAATGAGTCAATAAGATAATCTATTTTTTTAAGCAAATAAAGCATGATAAATAAAATACTCACGTTTGAAATAAAATGTTTGGCATTGTCAATAATGTGTTCACCAAAACGCAAATCTCTCATTCTAATTCGTTGATAAGTTTCTTGTTCCTCTTTGCCTTCAAACGGAGGGTAACCATGCAAAAATTCATAGCATAAAATTCCTAAATAAAAATTAATATCAAATTAGGAAAAAACTTCATTCAAAAAAACCCACCCAAACACCAATTATCAACATGATGTCTATAATCTTTGTTGTCAACCATTTCTGGTGGTAAGTAATCCAAAGTACCACACATAGTGTTTCTTTTCATTGAAGGCGAGTGAACAGACCAACCGAAATCAGCCAACTTAACATCATCAGTAATAGTCAGCAGCAAGTTTTCAGGTTTGATATCCCTGTGAATAACGTGGTTCTGATGGCAATAATCCAGAGCATCAGCAACTTGATACACGTATTTCGCAGATCTGCGATCATCAAATCTGCCATTAGCAGAATTTTTCAAATGGTTGTATATCTCTCCTTTTCCAGCATATTCCAAGACTAAGTAAATTCTGTGAGAATCGTGGAACCAGGCTAGAAGCTGGAGTATGTTGGGATGTTTCAAGTGGCTTTGAATTTCAATTTCTCTCAATGTTAGTTTTTCGACGCGCCCCAAAACAAGTTCCTTTTTCAATAGTGTCTTTAGGGCAACTATAAATCCACTGCGTCTCTCACGCGCCAAAAATACTCTGCCAAATTTACCTCTTCCCAGGCGCTTTCCTAATTCATAGTCGTCCAGGCTCCACTTATAGCTGTAATTTGAAGAAAAAAAAATTATAAAATCAAATGATTTGAGTACACTGCAATAGTAAGTTATTATTTTAAAATCCATTAGTGTCATGACTTAAAAACAAAACAAACTGTATTGATAAAGCTCTTGTTGATAAAGATGTAATATATACTAGTTTCAAATTAAGTACAAAAATACAAACCACTTCAAGAAGAAAAGTAGGTAAGATCTAAAATATATCCATAATAGAATACAGTAAAAATGGGATAAAATTCTAATTCTAATTTTCCTTCAACAAGATCAATACAAGTATCAATCAGCAGTATCAACAAAAAAAAGCAATAAAAAGAAAGATTCTTACAGTAAGTTGTAGAAAATAAGAATACATGGGATTACATGAGGCTTGTACACTGGAATATGTTGGCGGTTCACCCCTAGAATGCACTCTTTCACATTTTGATGATTTTTGGAAAAAGTGTTGATGATGATAAACCGAACGCAAAAGAGAACACTCTGAGAGCGAAAACGAACAGGATCTAATCGTTTCGAGCGCGCTTGGAGTTTACCGAGTGTTAAGCTGAACTCAACCTGAAATTAATTTGATGCAAAATGGCAACAGAAAAAATCTTGGAAAGCAACTATAAAAAAACAAATTAAGAAAAATGCACCCGAGAGTTAAACCACCAGCCTAATTTGTACACTGAATACATACAGGGTGACAATTTGAAAAGTAGCAATCGGGAATATCTCTTGGACAATAAATATTATCAGGAAGATCTCAAATACTTATCGGGGTATTGAGGAGGGAACCAAAATGAGGCACGACTTCACCCCTTAGCAGATAGCTACCCTAACCTATTTTTTTTTCTTTTTAAATACGAACCTACCTACCTATAAAAAACCTTGTATTGCACATGGCCCTTTGCAGTCCCATAGCAAAATCTTAAATAGGGCGATTAGTTTTTGAGATATCGGTGTTTAAAAGTTAGCACATTTTGAAAACTAGTAATTTTGACTGTCTCTTAAGAAGACAAAACAATTCCGTCATAAAATTCTTGAATACACATCAGCGAAATCAAATAGTGTGTTTATCATAATTATATCTACTTCTGCACCCCTCTAAAGAGAAATAAAAAACCTCTCAAAGCAGGTTCTCATTTTAGAAAAATTATTAGGTGCGGCTAGCGTCCCAAATGTGTATTTGAGACATTTATGACAAAATAGTTTTGTCTTAAGAGATAGTCAAAATTACTAGTTTTCAAAATGTGCTTACATTTAAACACTGATATCTCAAAAACTAATCGTCCTATTTGAGATTTTGCTATAGGACTGTGAAGAGATAGCAACGAGCTATCCAACGATGTGCAGTGCAACACAAGATAGTTCCGTATTTAAAAAAAAAAGTTAGGGTAGCTAACCCCTAAGGGGTGAGGCTCAAAAAGTGCCTCATTTTGGTTCCCCCTCCAATCCCTTAATACGTATTTGAGATCTTTCTGATAGTATTTTTTGTCTAAGAGATTTTCCCGATTGCTACTTTTCAAATTGTCACCCTGAATAGTAGAAATACAAAGGGATACCCTCGGGAATACTGTAAGAATACAAGGGAATACATCGAAGGACATGAAAATACATAAAAATACATAGGAATACATAACAATACATGAGAAAATAAGAATATACATGATACATGAGATTACAGTTTACAGTTCATGAATACTTATCGTTGAGACTTCAATAATTCTGCGGGTATAATGTACCATTCTAAACATCAGGTTGACAATTACGCCGCAAATGACGTCGTTTGCGTGTATGCAAAGTTGCATCGATTTCAAATAAAGTCCCCCTGGTATGACATAAAAGTTTGTATGCACCACGGGTACTAATAGATATATACCCTCGGGCGACTTACGAACCCTCGGGCCAGAGGCCCTTGGCTTTGTAAGGCTGTCGACCTCAGGGCATAATCATCTACTTAGTACCATTGATACATAAATATTATTATTATTACCTGGACAATTTGAATCTTTATTTGTACCCACTCTATAAACTGAACCAAACCTATATTCAATTTTCTGGTGTAGTGGAAGCAATTAGTAAGAACAAATATGAAAGTAACTATTATTTTTCAAGTTTTATTGATAAATTTGGTAAGTGAACTATAGATGGCTTTACGGTCGGCCGTGTTTTATTATTTTACTGTTACTGCTACTGATACTGACACTATAAATCTAGCTCAATACCTATGACTATTATCATAAGTGCTATTATAGAAGTTAACTGGCGCAGATGAGTCCCTCCTAGACCTAACCCAAACTAGGCTGAGCCTTTTAATCTAGGAAATAGGTGTAATTTCTAGAGATTGAAGTTCACCGGTAATTTTTCGGTTATTTTGGTAATTTTCGAAATATTTCATGAAACAAACAATTAAGTATGTATATTGTCATAATTGTTTGTAACCTATACGTTCAAGGATTATAGATTTTCAGGATTTTTTACCTAAACAACTATTTATTTAATGTTGTTTGTTGTAAAATCTAACCTCATAGAAATATTACAATAATTAATCAAATAATAATACCTAATTCCTAGAACGTAAAACGAGCAAAGAAAATCAAACAAAAATAAAACAGAAATAAATTCTCCTAATCTGGTGCTAAACTAAATAGTAGAGTAAATACCTACTTTTAAAGGGTAAAAAGAAAACAAATAAATAAAATGAGCTGAATAAGTATAGCATAAAAAATAACTCTGTCAAGAAAATTGATTACTTTAAGAGCACAGGGTTGGCAAAAGCCCGGGTTTTTGAAAATTTCTATTGGTTTTTTGGGTTTTTGCGAGAGTTGTGCTTTTGTACGGTTTGTGTGTTTTAAGATCTTTGAATCTTTGAAATTCCGAATAATCTGAAACTCATAACTCAACAAAAACCCACCGGGTTTTTGAAATAGGTTTTTCCTACAAGCACAATGTTTTAATTCAAAATATAGGTACTACATATTTTTTACTTCAAATTAAATTACTATCTATAGGAACTATTTTCCATTGAGAAAACCTAGATCTTACACTGATTTTTTGATCAATTTTTAATAATGTTTTAGACAAAAATGCTTGTGGAAAAACATTACACCTAACTTCTGCGGGAAATGTCTTTTCCACCCTTGACAGTTCGCCAACTGCCGTCGCGTGGGGAAAAGCACCTTTCTGCACTTGTTAGGTAAATAACTTTTTGTTTATACCAACCCTGAAAGCGCGTTACAGATTCACAACCAGATAACGGATAATGCATGAAAAGGATTGTCGCCTGAATGTGATTTCATTCAGGAAGCATTTCTGAAAATTACCGGTAAAGAAAGGACCCCGCAATATTTAAATGGCAATTAATTGGTTACCCGTGATATTTGGATGAAATTTAAATATGTTATTGGGGATGCCATAAGCAACATTTTTTACCAAGGGCACAACCCTGTATATATGACAGGTGAGGCGTGGTTAGCTGTCAAATATTGGAATCTTATATCCAAAAGCAGAGTAACTATAGCAGATTTTGATAAACAAAAAATCTATTTCTACTAAGTCGACCAAGTTAAGTCGAAAAATGTCAACCCTTCCAGTTTTCATTATTTTATGATGTTCATTTGACATTTTTAACTTGTATGTAAATTCTGAATTCAAAAATTGAAAAAAAAAAAGACAGAACTGTCAAAACCTGTCATTTGTTTTGGTAGAAAAAAATACTCTAATCTGGTTTTTTCTCGTTTTAAGGTAGTTTATTGGAGATAAAACATCGAACAAAGTTCATGCACGTCATATTTTGACAGGTGTCAGAATCTGTCAATAGCTTTAATTCAGATAAGAATCAAATCTAGTTCTTTTCTAATTTAAGCAAGGCTTATTAATGATAACGCATGAAAAAACATTATAAAAACGCAGGTTTCAGATTTTGACAGAGATGTCATTTTTTTTCAATTTTTGAATTCAGAATTTACATACAAGTTAAAAATGTCAAATGACATCATAAAATATTGAAAACTGGAAAGATAAATGCTGCGGTTGGGCAGGGTTTTGACAGGCGTCAAAATGGTTGACATTTTTCGACTTAACTTGGTCGACTAGTGGAAATAGATTTTTTGTTAAATAAATAAATAAATAAATAAATAAATTCTTTATTTACGGACATGCCATTTTTACAAAGGTAGACTTAAAGTGTAGGTACACGCAATAATAAATATTTGGAATAACAAGTAGGCAACAGACAAATTAGTATAAAAAAAACAACATTACATAAGCCTAAACAAATATTTTGTAGTAGGTATCAAAACACAAACAACAACATAATACGCTTAAAATTGAAAACAAATACAAAAAAAGATCATTTAAGGATCGACTTTAAAATTCTTTTGAATCTATCCAAACTTATGTTAAAAACATCCAAATCAGTCTTCAAAATAATATCATTCAGAGAACGACAGCTTCTAAGTAAAGGTTCTACGAAAATCAAGGTTAAACAATGTGTTTCCTCTTAAATTGCTAGATGGTACATGTAAGCTAACTCTAGCAAGTAAGTCTGGAGAATCAATAGAATTATTAACAATCTTAAACAAAGTACACATATCAAAAAACTGTCGCCTCTGGTTCAGATTTTCAAGATTTAGGACAGACATTAACTCGTCAACCCTGTCAAAGGCCTTGGAGAAGTCAGTGTAGACCGTCAATCTGACACCTATTCTCCAACCCCTCCAACAGAGCCTCCTCATAGACCAGAAGATTAGTCAATGTAGATCTACCCTTAATAAAGCAATGCTGTTCTGGTACAATAACATGTTTCAAAATTGGTGTAAGAAAATCCGTTATTATAGACTCAAATACCTTAGAAAAAATAGAAATTTTGGATATGGCCCTATAGTTTTTAATATTATTTCTTTCTCCACTCTTAAACACAGGAGTTATATAGCTTAATTTCCACATATCAGGAAACCGTCCCAACTCTAAAGCCTTATTGAATATTTTACATAATATCTCTGAAAGAATACAACTACAATTCTTAACAAACAATACTGGGATGTCATCTGGACCACAACCCAATCCATTCTTCAATGACTGTATCTTGTTAAATATATCAAGAGGGGTAATTTGAACTGAACTGATACTGCAATTAGACAAACTAGATAAATTAGAGACAGGAATGTTTCGTTCACTCTCAACACTCACCTCAGTATAAACTGAGGAAAAACTATCCTTAAAGAGATTGACAATTTCATGAGGTGTGCTACTTTCATGCTCATCAAAAAACATAGAACTGGGATATCCACGATTTTCATTTTTCGATCGTACATATCTCCAAAATCCATTTCTGTCCTGTGTCTCGGACTCGATTTTCTCAATGAAATTCCTATGGCTGATATGAGAATAAATTTTACATTCTTTCCTAATATCTGAAAAAACTCTATAATCCTGAGCGGACATGGTATTTTTATAGTTTTGATGTGCCTTTTTTTTAGACAAAATTAAATATTTTAAATGATTATCCATCCATCTTGGAAATTTTGCTGTTTTTCTTTTTGAAATGGGTGTAAAGATCTCAATAGCATGATAAATTTGATTATAGAAAGTTTCGACAGCAGAGTTTATATCATCCATATCAACAAAAGAGTCCCAATCCACACAAGACAGATAAATATTTAAATCCCTAAAATTACAATTCTTATAATCTAGAAAACAATAATCATACTCCAACTTATTAGAATTAATATTTGAAATCAATACATCAAAAACCAAAGCAGGATGAGGTGTGTCCAAATTCAAAAGTGGATCGTCTGATATTGAGGTACATACATCTTTATTACTACAAAATATCAAATCCAGAAAGTTCCCATAAATATTAGAAATATTAGGCCTGTTCACACAGAAATCACCAACCAGTCAGAGCGAATTTCATTGGTTGAAACTAGTTTTCTGACTGTTTCTGACTGTTTCCAACCAATGAAATTCGCTCTGACTGGTTTGTGATTGCTGTGCGAACAGGCCTATTATTCACTTGATATAAGCTGTGGAAAGCCATGCAGTCAGCCAACTCTGTGGTTTGTTCAGATTGTTTACCAAAATCAGCCATAGTTACTCTGATTTTGGATATAATGGCGTTTCCGATTGGTAGATTTACAGGTCGATTAAAAGGATGCAAATACACTCCGTGCGCACTGAATCTACCAATCGGAAACGCCATTAGATTCCAATATTTGACAGCTAACCACGCATCACCTGTCATATATACAGGGCCGAGTTCAGAAATAACGCACAGGGTGCGAGTGCGATTTTATGGGTGTGCCTGATATGACAATTGGTCATTTAGTCTGGGAGACGACCGCATTTTTCCTACCCCGATCGAGTTATGTGTCGACACTATTATCAATATATAGTATTATGTGCATATATTAACCGGTATTCCTGCCTGAGAGCAAATGGTGCCGGAAATATCTTTTAACAAATTATTAACAAATTGAAAAAAACGTAATACTACCCCCATCGAGTTATGCCTAAAGTAGGATATCAGATTGAAGGTCTCGATGTCCCCTATCTACAAAGTCGATCCTGCCTCGTGAGAACTTGCCGGAAAAGGGTGGCAGGACAGCTTATTGGGGCAAGGGCCCGCGGTCTCTGCTTTGACACCTATCAAGCTTTGCACCACCACTAAATGATGTGTCAAATTAAAGGTGTCATTAAGTTGATTTAAGGTTTGTTCGCACAGAAATCACAAACCAGTCAGAGCCAATTTCATTGGTTGGAAACAGTCAGGAAACTAGTTTCAACCAATGAAATTCACTTCTTCTGGTTTGGGATTTCTGTGTGAAGAGACCTTAAATGAACTTATTAACACTTTAATTTGACACATCATTCAGGGCATACCCCGCGATCTTCAAATGTACCACTTGGTTCGATGAAAAACTTGTTTCATGCCCGGTAGAGGCACTATCAATTGATTTGCGTACGCGTTGTTGATTGTATCTCCAAGGTATCTTCGCTTCAGAAGAAGGGTGACGTGATTACTAATTAAATTATGACATGAACCGACATAAATTCATGAAATGACAAATGATGACAAAACGATGAACTGGAAAACGTTGTGCTTCTTATTGTTGCTTTAATATTTCTGTTCGTTGAAAAAGTGTTTCGTAGTGATAGAGCGTTATCTGTGTGTATTTGTGGACTTTCACAGTGTTATGTTTAGTGTAAAAACTATTCTTGTTATTTAATTCTGTGTTGTTAAGTGTTGACATTAGCCGCTTTCCAGCTGTGTGCTTCAAGCACGGTGCAGCACAGTGTTCTGTGTTTGAAACGCAGTACGGCTGGAACACAAACACGCGCTTGAATCATTTGCGCGCGCAAAAGCTCGATTGCGTGCTCAAAATGGGCTGCTGGAAAGCGGCTTTTGTTGACAAGTTTCGAAAAGCCAACATATTTTTCTTCTCTCTTTGTAATAATACGTTTTTTTCAATTTGTTAATAATTTGTTAAAACATTTTTCCGGCAGCATTTGCTCTCAGGCAGGAATACCGGTTAAGGTTTAAAGTCAACCCCTATTTTCTGAGCCTTGTGTTCAAATATTCCAAAAAAAAATATATCTTTTATGGTTATCGATATACTTTAATCCATAATTTTTTTAAGCAAATTTGACTTGCCATTTTTGAGTTACATCGCAAAAACTGAAAAAAAAAGTAGTTTTTCACCATTTATTCCAAAACGAATAGATGAAGTTTCCCATTATTTTTATTACGAACTACTATTGCAATTCTACGCGACATATATTTTTTTCAAATTTTTTGAACTTGTAGTTTTCTCGCTACTGCAAAAATAGTCGGAAATACGCCAGTAGCTACACTGTTTAGAAAAAAATCCGACAGATGAACGTTCAAAATTATTTGCGTTGATCGAAACTACAACCCTGTTTATGTAAAACAGAATAATACTTTGAACTTCCGCCAAAAAAAGAAAAAACGTTACATCACACAATTTAACCAAATGAAGATTTCTATTTTTTTTTGACAGTCAAGTTAGGGCTCACCGAGGGGCTCACTATAGGGGCGACAGCATTGACATCTCGCGTTGCTGTAATAAACTATAGGCCTGACTTTAAACCTTAATATATGCACATAATACTATACAGGGTTAGTAAAAAGTACTGCAACACTTAAATATCTTCGAAACTGCTTGAGCCGCGTTTACACAATTCGGAATCTGACAGTTTTCAGGTTTGCAATTAATTAATATTGATTTTCTTGTAATTGGGCTTCTGGCCTGTTGGAAATAAAGACTTATCTTGAATAGAATGCCCCATTTATTTTTATTGCAATGAATTGGGAGTGCCAAATTTTATAAGATTCCAAACTTCCAGAATTCTATCTCTACTAGTTGCTAAAATATGAAAACACCGTATTTTTGGTGAAAAGTATAGCAACGCTTGAATATCTTCAAACGCCGCTTAAGTACGTTCACGAAATTTGGTATCTGGGGGTTTTTGGGCAAGCAAAATTCAACTGTGACATCAGCATTGTTGCCAGACTTTTCAGTTTTGAGCTACACGTAGTCTTTTTGTTATCTTAAATAGAATGCTCCATTTATTTTTTTTGCAATAAATTGGGCGTGCCAAATTTGGGAATTTATGAGCAAGCGAAATTCTAATGTGATATCTGCATTGTTGCCAAGTTTCCCAGTTTTGCGCTACACGTAGTCTTTTTGTTATCTTAAATAAAATGGGGCATTCTATTTGAGATAACAAAAAGACTATGTGTAACGCAAAACTGGGAAATCTGGCAACATTGCCATTAGCACTGTTGAATTCCGCATGCCTGAAAACTGTCAGATTCCAAATTGTGTGAACGCGGCTTAAGCAGTTTTGAAGATATTAAAGTGTTGCAGACGTTGCAGTACTTTTTACTAACCCTGTATATTGATAATAGTGTCGACACATAACTCGATCGGGGTAGGAAAAATGCGGTCGTCTCCCTAACTAATTGGGCCCATAGCACCGTCTAGCATTTTTGAACAGCTAGGGCGTCGCACCGGTGTCACACTCACACTGGGTGTGTCATTCCTGAACTCGCCCCAGGGTTGTGCCCATGGTAAAAAATGTTGCTTACAGCATCCCCAATAACATATTTAAATTTCATCCAAATATCACGGGTAACCAATTTCCATTTAAATATTGCGGGGTCCTTTGTCGGATTAATTACCAAAATACCGCGGTAACGTTACCACACTTTAACTTCTAGTAATTTCTTAAGATTATGCAATAGAATGCTGTTGAAAATGATAAAGAGAATAAAATAAATAACTTACTTTGGATTGTTGAAAGCAGGATGGTCAATCATTTTCGTTACCAATTCCTTAGTACTCTTTTCCAGGCCTGGTATTGGAGGGATTGTGATGGTTTTCATGTGCTTCTCCACTAGCTCCTCCGTTTTTCGCTGTTTAGACATTTTCGACGATTTTTACTAATCCCTATTCAAGTTTAAATTATATTAAAAATAATTTGTGGTAACAGTAGCACAAAAAAAAAAACGAAATTAAATGAAAATATTGAAAATGAAGGATGACGACCGTTGGTTTGGTGGAGTATTGACAGTTTTTGAACAACAAAAAACAGAAAAATTTAAAATGGACATATTATGTCATACGTCAATAGAGAAGACAGTCAGGGTACGTTCGAAAACCATAGCTGGGTTCGGCTATTCAGCACGGAGTTGGAGTGGAGTAAGAACAGATTTTTGACACGTGATCTAGGAGTGATTAGAGTGGAAAATTAATACACGAACGCCGGAACGGTCGGAGCAAAATTGTCAAACAGCTGTTTTGTGTCGTTTGAAAACAACCAGTGGCCGGATTATGAACATCCGATACGGAAAGATTCCGAGTCGAAGGTAAACTCGAAGCGTATACGCATCGTATTGAACGAAAAAGCGATTACGAACACTCGAATCGGCTTCAATCAGCTGTCCGCAATTACAATGGTAGAATGCAAAAGCTCTCGCTGGAGGTGACGTCAGCTGCAGTCCTTTATTGTTGCGTTCGCTATGTAAATGCATCATTCATCATTAAATGCATGGAATTGATGCGCAACTTGCAATGTTTTTATGGATTGATTATGAATATCTAAAGATTGCAACCATGTTTCGCTTTATATTTTGATATTTAGAAATACATAATTTAAATCATTATAACAACCTTGTGTTTTTTGACAAACAGAGAATCATGTTAATTATGAAACATTTGGCCAAGGGTGATTTAATATATACAGGGTGTTCCGAAATTAATGCACCAAATTTCTATGGCATATTTAACGTCGAAAATAAGCCCTAGTTTCCCATATAAACATATAAAAGCTTCCTTTCCGAGATACCTACAGAGTGTTGAAATTCTAAAAAAAAAACCATTTCAGATAAATATTTCATTGAAATTTTGTACACTGCTTTTAAGCAGTAAAAGACATTTTTTGGTGTGAAATATTAGAAAAAAAAATTATCTGAAACTTTAGGTGTTTAGAATGTTAACATTTTTATCATAAACTTTCGCCATGCATCAAAATGGTTTTTTTTTTAATTTGAAAACGGTGCATCTTTTGGGAAAAAGTTAGGAGAATAAATTTATTCGAATTTAAATGGGGATTCCATAAATTATTTTTATTTCAGGAAAAAAGCAGCGGCGCACCATTTTTTTCTAAAAAAATATTCCATGCAAAACTGGTAAGGACGTCACTGGTAATTTTTTAAAAAATATTTCACATAAAAAAATGTCTTTTGCTGCTTAAAAGCAGTGTACAGAATTTCAATGAAATATCTAGAGTGGTTTGAAAATTATGATAAAAAAACATATTTTTTTTTTGAATTTCAACACCCTGTATCTCGGAAAGAAAGCGTTTCCAGACATATTTTTATATAGGAAAGTAAAGCTTATTTTTGACGGATAGAATATGCTGTAGAAATTTGGTGCAATAATTTCGGAACACCTTGTAAAAGCCTTGTACTTTATGGCATGGTAGATTTTCAATTATCGTTCTTAGCTTGAAAAAATTCAAATACTGGACACAATGATTTTTAAGGTCAAAATGCTCTGTTTATAGAAACATCCGGTTGAAGAGTGCTACTGACGGCACGTGACGTCAGTCGCAGTACTCGATGTTCGATATTTTAGCGAACGTATGCTTTATGGGCATGGGCCCGACTCGTCTACCTAGGGTGGATGCTCGCATGTATGTACGAATATATTTTAATAAAAACCATAGATAAAAAAACAAGAAAAACAATAAAAACACAAGAAAAACAGAACGAAACAAAACGCATCCCCAATACCCTATGGCATAACAAGAAAAACAAGAACAAAAATGAAACAAGTGTTTATGCAAGAAGGACAAGAAACGATTCCGTCAACAGCTGTTGTCGGAAGCTACGGAATGGTTCTCGATGCAAGTTTTCTCGTTTCGAGTACGCTCATAACCTCAATTCGGAAAAAAGATGGAGGATTCGCTTCGTATCGGACGTTCGTAATCGGGCCCCAGGCTGGATTACGAACGTCCGATACGAACCGAATCCTCCATCTTTTTTCCGAAAAGAGGTTATGAACGTACTCGAAGCGAGACAACTCGGATCGAGAACCATTCCGTAGCTTCCGACAACAGCTGTTGACGGAATCGTTTTCTGTCCTTTTTGCACACACACTCGTTTTGGTTTTGTTCTTGTTTTTCTTGTTGTTCCATTGGATATTTAGGTGCGCTATGCTTCGTATTGTTTTTCTAGTGTTTTTATCTATGGTTTTTATTAAAATATAATTCGTACATACATGCGAGCATCCACCCTAGATAGACGAGTCGGGCCCATGGCCATAAGACATTACGTTCGCCAAAATAACGATAATCGCGTACTGCGATTGACGTCACGTGCCACCAGTTGCAGTCCTCGACCGGACTGTTTCTATTTAAAACAGAGCATTTCAGTTAGCTTTAAAAATCGTTGTGTCCAATTTTATTTATTTATTTTTAACTTTATTTCAGATTACAGTAACATGTAACATACACATATACACATAAACCATGAAATGAAATAGCGTTACAAAAAAAGACCTTACACCTATAATGCTACTCAGAACAATAACATTATTTCCAGTTATATGTGTATCATTACTATCATTCAAATATTCTTGTGTACTACCTATATGGTTCCAACACAATAAGTATCTTTTTCAGTTTACTTTCAAACATTTTTTCTTCTGTCTATTTTTAATTCATTGATTAGTATTAAGAAGTTTTATTCCCATGTCACATGGACTTTTTCCCAATAATGTTAACCTGTGCCTCGGAAAACAAATATTATTATGCTCTAGTGTTATAATTATGACATGACTAGCATCAATAGCGAAACTTTTATTTCCAATTCTACCATGGAGATTCCTCTTGAAAAAGACAAGGAATGGTACAAAACTTAAAACTTGGCAAGATAAATATTCAAAACGGAAAAAAAAAATCACCATTTCATTTAAATTTTTGCAAGCTAAGAACGATAATTAGAATGGATTATATTTATAAGCCAAATTTACCAACAATATGGAAAGAAAACTCTACGTGTAGAAAGGTATAATTAGAAAGTTTAGCCATATAAAGCACACGGCTTTTATTTACTACAAAAATCACCCTTGGCCAAATGTTCCATAATTAATATGATTCTCTGTTTGTCAAAAAACACAAGGTTGTTATAATGATTTAATTTTTGCATTTCTAAATATCAAAATATAAAGCAAAACATAGTTGCAATCTTTAGATATACATAATCATAATCCATAAAAATACTGCAAGTTTCCTAACAATTCCATGCATTCAATGATGAATGATGCATTTACATAGTAAACGCAACAATAAAGGACTGCAGCTGACGTCACCTCCAGCGAGAAGTTTCGCATTCTACCATTTTGATCGCGGACAGCTGATTAAAGCTGATTCGTGTGTTCGTAATCGCTTTTCCGTTCAATACGATGCGTATACGCTTCGAGTTTACCTTCGACTCGGAATCTTTCCGTATCGGATGTTCATAATTCGGCCGCAGGGGCAACCACAACGTGACAACACAACAAGGTTGACAGTTTACAGATTTCACTTCTGCGCATGCCTACTCTAAAAAATTCTCTTTCCGAGGTGGAACTTTTGGAGTGAACTCCATTTACTCCACTCCGTATAGTCGAACACTGATGCAGTCACCTTTAAATGCCAAAAAACAATACCCGAACGGTTGGAGTGCGAATGGAGTCACTCGGAGTGCGCGGAGTGAGCAAACCGAACCCATCTTCGAGAGATGACGTTACAGCTATGAATTTCCGAGGCATAACTGTTTTATTATTAAAAAACGCAAAAGATCACTCAATTTTAATATGGTCAATGGAAGAACAAGTTTTTTTTTTGGCTAAATGGCTAATTTTAGATAAACTTGGAAAGTAAACCACTCGGTCGGTCACCGTTCGAATACCTAGAGCAAGATTGACTCACCGAAGTGAAGTGTGTTAACCCCCACTCCTTGAAATAATTTTCATATCAACAACCAGGCCCCCGGATTCTATTTTACAAATCGAGTCGGATGTCTCGATATCGAATACGACAGGCCCGGACGTACCGTGTTAAGCCTAGTACTCATAACTACGAAATTCGCATTTTTTTGACATTGCTACGACAATTTGACGTTTGATACACGCATTAAACGTCAAATTGTCAACGCAATGTCAAAAAAATGCGAATTTCGCAGTTTTCATAGCCGAGGCATAGCCGAGGCTAGGAAACCAGCCGAGGCATTAAATCTGCTTTTCTGCCATGTAAAACATATAATTTTTTCTCCGAATGTTCAAATTCATACATGGACATCTTTTTTATATTTATTTCATTCATTATTATTATCCAAATAATTAAATTATTTTGATAATTGTCGTTGTCACTATCAATTTCAAATACCAAATTGAGTGGAATTATTACCTGGAACGTTGTGACACTGTCACTTTTAATGCCTAGGCAGTAAAAGTCCACTTTTACTAGGCAGTAAAAATACAACTTTTGATCCTGTCAAGTGTCATTAAAAGGCCGCTTTTACTGTCATTCGGAGAAAATAGTATATTGTTGTATTAGGAGTAGAAGCTTTACTTTTTTGTGCTGAAGCAGTAGGTTTGCGAGCCGAACGTAGTGAGGCTTGCAATACTGCTGAAGCACAAAAAAGTGCTTCAGCATACACCCAAAATCTTTGTTACCTGCTTTTACTTGACACCTGACACTTTTCATGCGATTTTCTTTTCAAAATTCGACATCAATAATTAAAATCCTAGAAAGTAGGTAATAACACAAAGTTCTGTTTTGAGTAACCCAAACGTTCAATTCAGTAATTCCATTTTCAATATTCATAATAAATACAAAACAAAATTCAAATATGTGTTTAGTGTGTTTTTTATTTCTGAATAATGAATGACACTTTTAGGCACTAGTGCTTAAAAATTACTTTTACGCACTCATAAGTCACTTTTACGCATTCAAAAGTCACTTTTACGCACTGAGTGCCTAAAAGTAACTTTCACGCACTCAGTGCCTAAAAGAATGTCGTTTCAAAACTGAAATGACAATCGAAAAGTTG